TACTATATTGCAGTTTGAATCGATAAAAACGAGTGCGTATCGTCGAAGAAATTTGAAAATTTTCGTCAAAGTTTTCATCTTTATCGAGGAAAATCGTGCCGGTAACTATATTCAAGAATTATACAAATTTTTTCGAGATTTTCGATGGACAATTTAGAATATTCAGAACAAACCCCAATAAATATTGAAGAATCGTGCACACTGCAAAACAATGCAAACAATAAATATGTAGTACCTGCAAAATATACGTAGTGTTATTGATCAAAGTAAGATACAATCAAAAATGTAGTCATTTTATGATTAATGGTTATGAAATTAAATCAATCTAACCTAACCTAACTTAAACCTAAAACCTTGGATTACAATGACTTTGATTACTTCCATTATTCATTATCAATGATTCTGCTGATTGTGATAATTCCACGTTAATCATTAATCATTATTCGTAAATCGTTAATCGGATTACGTTTTACTCAACTCTGACCCCTAGGTACATTTCGCATCTTCAATTTTTCGAAATATCCACGCTGCCATGTTGCATGTAGAAACGACCGTTACCAACACTTTTGCTAATTCGCGCATTACTAACGGCGCGAAAATTATTTCTCACGGACGTTATTATTTCTGCCCCACTTTCCGCGTTATTAATCGCTTTTTTTTTAGTTTGGCACTTTTGTTTTCCTACCGCAGCTACATTTATTCCGTATAATAATCGCACTCATCATCGGCGATTTACATTGTTGACCGTTTCAAGGCTCTTCCTCTTTCTCTCTTTCTTGTCTTTCTCTGTCGTGTTGACATTCGAATGCATTTCGCATTGTGGCTACGTGCAATTCTGCTTCGACGCATCTCCGTCGTCCAGCGAACGCACCACGCTTCATCGAGATTGCACAATCTGTTAGCGCCTCCTGTCAACAAAATACCAGGTTGATGAGAATGCATGTACATCTGTATCTCGCAGGCTACTGACCGACAAAACTCGCTCGATGGAAACTAAAATGAGAAAGATTTCTATCCATAACTGGTTAAATCAAATTTCGACTCAAGATTGAGATAATTCCAACAGATGTCTTTTTTTTCGATTCAAAGATTCTGTTTGAAAGATCTTTAATACTATGGCAATTGTACGTTTTATGTAGGGAGAAATATATCTGTGCGATAAACTGTTTATCTATCTATCCATCTATCTCTATATATAGTCGTGTATATGATGTACAATTTGCACAGATGAGGTTATTTTACCGACTGTAACTTTCGAGTGTATGACGGTAAAGTAGAAATTCGACGACTCTTCTTAAGTTAACAACTGTTGATAAAAAGAAAAAAAGCGATGATATCTACTATACTGGTATCTGATATGGAAGGTGCAGAGCGCATGAAGGAAAATCGATAGAGGGCGGGCAGGTTTAAATGACCGCCTTGGCTTTCGGGACCAGTCGACAGAGTTTTTATTTCGCGTATTCCGCGACCGAAACAGCTGAAGGGCCGAAATGTCAAAAATCCGACGGGAATCCACGAACGTGTGTAATGTCAGCTACAAGTGACGCACTGGCGCTTCCCGCGGCGCGTTTTTCACGCGAAACGATGCCAAGAGGATAAATTATGCCCCGAAAAGAAAACACGTAAGTGCCTGTTAACCAACTTTCTAACCTCAATCAACTTTATCGCCAACATTACATCTCTCCTCTTCGCGTTATTTTCTCTGCAACGAACAACCGTGTTTCCATTGAAAGATTAGAAAAAAAAAGAAAAAAAAAACAAAAAATAAGAAACAACTTGTTTTCTTAGCAAAGCGAAAACATGGGAGCGAGACAGAAGAAAACGTATGAACGCTTACTTCAAAACTCTGGCAGACCTCTTGCCGCCACATCAGGAGGGTCGCAAACGCAACAAGGTCGACATCCTGATTCACGCATCGAAGTACATCAAAGACCTCCATAGTCGTACAGAGGAGTTGTTCTCTGCTCATGCTTCGGAGGCTCATAGTAAGCGAGTTTCTTTAATGCTGATTATCATGGTTGGTAACTTATTCCCAAGCATGGACATTGCTCAGATAAAATACCTAAGATATGATTATTTGAATGAACGTGTCATCTTGACTTGATATCTTGAAATAATTCTATTAGAATAATTTTAATAGAACTAGCAAAATTCATTATTATTTCATTATTCGACTGTCAAACAAAGTGCTACTTTGTTTCATTTTGTATTTTGTATTTATTTCTACAAATAACCTCTCAAATAGTTTCTGATTCTATCATGTACACTTTGCCTTTTGCCAGGATTGCTTGTTGTTCTATTACAGTGAATTCATTCAAATAAAATTTATTATTCGAAAATGATTTACTTGATTTGAAAGTTATCAGGATAAAGTTACATTTTCCGAGTTGTTCTTCGAGTGCAAATAATCAATTAGTGGGAATCATTGGTTGTTTTTTATCTCTGTCTCAAGTAACATTTGTTGAACAAAGTATCTGCTTGTTTTGTAATTCATGTTGTTATTGTTTTTTCTTAATGTTTTACGATAGAGGAGGAATTATCTCGTTTGAAGAAACTTGTGACTCAGCTTTTCTCTCGTACGCAATTGCTGTCCACCCTTCTGCGAGAGGCTGGCATTTCTGTTCCGGCAGAGCCAGCTCTTGAGAAACTATCTCCTCTGAAATGGTCAAACAAAATCAACGTGGAGGACGCGGAGAAGTGTTTCGGCAAAATAGAAGAAAGTAAGTACAGTGAGTAGCATTGACAGTAGATGAGAAATAAATTTCTTGGATCTAGACGTTTACAAGGATATTTGATTTTAGTAAAAAATTCTGAAAGCAAGAGGGAAAAGTCTGCAGAACCGAAAGTGCCTTCTAAGAGAAAATCCGTTACTTCTTCTCATTCGTCTAGTAAAAAGTCAGTGGAAAGTAGCAATGTTTCCAAGGATGTGAATAGTTGCATAGAGAATCAGGAGAATCAAGTAAACTCTGCGAATAGCAACGATGATAATTTAGAGACAGCAGACAGTGCATCGGACGCAGGATCCAAAGAACCAGAACGTTGTCAAATGAATACAAGTAAATGTTCCTTCTTAATTCTAGTTTTGCAAGTTGCACCAAGCTATTGAGATGTACGTTATTTTATTAATTAGGTTCTGAAGCGACAGTCACTTGTCCATTGAATAAGAAGACTAACAATGGTAGGTATAAAAGGATCACAGAATTGAACTTTCTCTCTGACATATATAAATTAACGTTTCAGCATTGCAAAAAGTAGAATCTCAGAGGAAAGTGAAACGGAAAGCAAAGAAAAAGGAAGAAAAGAAATCATTGGCGTCCTGTATAAATAATTCCGTGACGAACCTGACCCCGAACACCCTTATATTATCCGGTGGTAAATTAATGCCTTTGGTAACTCCGATGACGTCGAATATAATTGTAAATACTCAACAACAGCCTGCGAATCCCATAATTCTGGGCAACGGTCAACAGAATCAGATGATCGTGATGCAACCGTTGACCAATCGCGTGCAGAACCCGGTTGTTTCCATTTGCAATCAAGCTGTGATCAATACGGTTCAGAAGGTCACGCTCAACACGGTCCCTAGCATTCGCGCGAACATGGTGGTGGACTCGCAGAACTGGGCGTCCAATGTGAAGAACATAATCAATGCGACGAAGATAGGCGGTCACAAGGGCATTCTGCCCAAGGGTAAGGAAGTGACGAAAACAACGATGACGTACAAAGTTCCTATTCCGGCGGTTCACAAGGAGAAAACGGAGAAATCTAAAGAACATGGATCTAAGAAAGAGATGGAAGTTAAGTCGAAGGCTAACAAAAGTCACGGGAAAAGTTCAAGAAGTCAGCAATCTGTATTGGAAACCATTGAAGAAAAGAGTGACAAAGAAAAAGTGGCGAAAAATGTCGAGGATGCAAATTCCACGCAGAAAACTGTGCTCAAACGTCCTATCAGCACGGAAGCTGGCTCATCCGTGGACGAACCTGGTGAAAAAAAGCGAAAAGCAAACGAAAACCGTGAACACAGTCCAGCGAGTGTGGTACCTGTATCAAAGTCAGACTTTGCTGTGACCTGTAAGTCCATTGAAAGTTTGAAGCATGTTATAGAAAAGATAGGCGAGGAAACGAACGAAGAACAGGATAAAAGTCATGTACTGGATGAGTCGGAGGGAAATACCGAAACGAACGTAGAATGTTCTGCCTTGCTAGGTTCCACTGGTTCCACCGATCAGCAGGATATTTCCGACACTGCAAAGTCGGTGGATGTTCTGACGTCAGACAGCATTCAGTGTGAAACGAAAAGAGGCCAGGATGCGCCAATTTCAGACACAACGTCTCCAGTTACCTTCCCGGATGAACATTTGAAAGCTTCCAATGAAAATGTCTCGGTTTCTTCTGAAACTGATTTCAACATTCCTGTAGATAGTACACTGGAGAAATCGACCAGCAGCAACAACGTCGACCGCCCTGATACTAAATCGACTTTGACAGAAGTAGAGAAAGCGGTTGAGAATTCGGTGGCGTCTAAAAAGATGAAGGATGTTTGCAATCTGGATACAGAATTCGACAATCTGTTGCAGGTGGCACCGAAAGAGTCAGAGATTGTGCAACATGGTGCAACCAACTTGGAAAATAACAAGATCATTCTAAATTTAGATACAAACACCACAACAACTTTGAAGCCAGAAACGAGTGCTGTGGTTCAGACTCCAGACATCACCACGCCGTCGTCGTCGTCGTCGTCGTCGTCGTCGTCGTCGTCGTTGCTTCCAGTCAGCATAGTGGAGGACGAGTCCAAACTGGTGAAAACGTCAAAGGACGAAGCGTCAAAATCTTCGCTCTCTTATAACACGGAGAATTCTTTCGTACCGATTGGTAGCCGAGCCGATGGCCTTCACTCTGACCTTTCAAATGATATATTCGCATCTCTTCAGGTACCTTCCAGTTCTCACAATCCAGAATCTATATCTCCTACAGCTGCGTTCCTAATGGCTTTTCCATTGGTGTCTTCGCTGAATGGTAAAACAGAGGTTTTGGAGGAGGAGATGAAAGAGGACTTCAAGTATCATAGCCAGACCCCGCCCATGCTTCTGCAGATCGGTGCAATGGAGCCGAATAGTTTCAAGCTGAAGACAGCGTCACCACCCCACTCCATTGCTGAGAAACGGCTGAAAGTAACATGCGAGGACAAAAAGGCTATGAACCCTCCTGCGAGCGAGACAGTGTCCACGAACGTCATGGTCTCCGTGGACTGTGCCACGACTACGAAAGCTTTGCCCAAAGTTGTAAACGACGAACCTCTTAGGGAGCCTTATAAGATCGTCGTGGAGAAATCTGCACCTTCCAATTCCTTCTCCAACGCGACGCTGTATTCCATTTCAAGCACTCCGGGTACTACGTCAATTATCAACACTCCAGAAACGGGAGAGAATTGTCCGAGTCAACAGCTGACGACAAATCTAAGGAATCCAGTGGCAAACACTGCCGACGAAAACGTCACGGCTTCACAGATCAACGCGGTATCCATTTCAAGTAAAACCGGTGATCCGAATAATTGTCCCGTGCAAGCGTCAAGCTGTGACACTAACGTTCGATACAGCACGTCTCAGGACTTCCTGTCGAGTTACTCGACGATCGTTGAGAACAATTTGACCACACTGCAGCAGAATCCAAACGATTGCACCAACTCGACGATTCAGGAAACAAATCCATCTGGATTGAGTCAGAACGTCGTGCCCGACGTGTCCCAAGCGCCTCTGATTTCTCATTTGTCTAACAGCAATACGACGACGAATACGTCATTGCCTTTGCAAACGATGCAAATGAATTATACCTCTCAGATGAAGGATAAGGAATCTCATAACTCCCGCGTTGCTTACGGGATTCACAGCAAGGATCCCCTGGTGGATTCTAACATAGTTCCCAATAATCGTTTGAATTATGCCGGCCACATAGACAGAGTTCTTCCCACTTCTTCTCAGAACATCCAACAGGAATACTCGATGCGACCCAAAGAAGCGACTCTGCCAATTCTCTCTTCTCAAGCCATGCAAACTGTTTACGAGTCACAGCCTAAGGACAGTCACGTTCTAACAACCCAGCAACAGAATACTCATCAGAGTTACACGTCCGTTCACGAGAAAGACCACATCATTCACAACTCCCACAATGACTACGCTACGGTGGATCAGAATAAAAGTCTGCCTCGAAAGGACTCGTACTCGACCGGAGGCAGTAGCAACGCAACCACGTCCAACAGGAATCAGAATTACCCGGCTCAGAAGGATCCTATATCAAACTCGTCCGAGGATCACTTCCAACGTAGTTACACGAAAATTAGCAAGGAGGCTGACACCTCGGTTAACAATGTCGTCGACCAGGATCAAGAGCCACAAGGTCACAGACGTGATACCAATTACAATTCGACAAAGAAGATGGATGTAGATCCGTTTGCTCAAACGTTTTCCTACGGGGTGAAAGAGTCTATGAACAGTCAGCCTGAGCAGAGTGTGTTGAACCAGAACACTGACAACATGTATCAGAGTCAGAGGGAGGAGACCCAAAGTTACTCCACTTATTCCAACAAGGACACCAAGAAGATCAGCACTACCTCTTCCAACAATATAAACAACAAACCTCTCATACAGAATACTCCTGTTACACGTTACCCGCAACAGTCAACCTCCTTCGTGGCTACGTCCAACTATGAGCAGAGTACAGTTACTGAGAACCATGCAAAATCGACAACCACCGTTGCTCATAATTCTTCTAATTTCAGCATTCTGTCGTGGACGACGTTCTCTCCTGTTGGCGGGGGAAATAACAATAATCTGGTGCAGTTTGAGCAAGGATCCAGCCAGACAGACAACACCGAGGGAAAAACTATATGTGAGAATTATAGTTACGTTCCCCTGCACAAGGAGAATCCAAATTTCTCCAACGTGTTGACCAACGACGTTTTCTCTGTGAACTCCACCATGGCTAATATGGAGAAGCCAAGGATGGGGAAATCAGGAATGGAAACGCAAAAGCAATCCTTTGTGGATTCTTCTAAAGCTAGGAATATCCAAACCAACGTTCCTCCGTCAGGCAAGCAGAGTCGCATGCAGAATCAAACTTCTTCCAACAACAATAACAACAACAACGACTACAACAAATATAACACGGAAAATAAAAACAAGTCCAAGTATGGGATGGAGTCAAAGTATATTCAGAACGAGTATCCCGGGATGGAGCAGCAGTCTCAACAGCAACAGCCGCAGCACGGGCCAAAGAACCATCAGCCAATGGTGACAAAGCAAGATAAAACAGTCTACCCAATGTCTAATTACGATTCTCAAGTGAACTTCGACTTGTCCGAGGTTAACACGCAAATGAAGTACTCCGTCGAGACTTATGCAAGCTCAAATTTCAAATATCCGGACAAGTCTCAACAGCAAAGTCAGAATAAATATCAACCTTTGGTCCAGGGACAGGTTCCACCGCTGCAACATGATAGCGTTACTTACAACAACGATGGGAAACACGGGCAGCAGCAAAGTGCGGCAAAGTCGAAAGGGATTCAACAGCAACACGCAGTTAGGGCGCCTGTAAATTGGATGATGACGCCGGAGATCAAACATAACGCCAACATTGCCGACATTATCTTACCACCTATTGGGAAGGAGCTGGAATTCTGTCAGAACAATCTGTTTGCTCAGACACCATCCTACAATCAAGGAACACCGAATCAGTTTTATAACAATTACGATGTAGCTGCTCACAGTTTCTCTAATTTACCGGTATTGCAGAGCGAGCCGAAAAGGACCTCTGAAGTGTTCTACTCTGAGGAACAACCGTTCCCTTGGTCCCCCACGAAAACCAGCATTCACGTCGAACAGGGTCAACCAGTCAAGGGTATTGATCAGCACATCGTTCCTTCTAGTCTTCCAACGTTGGTCGGTGATCTAGATTTAGGTACCAACATACCCGAGAAACAGAACTTCTTGTTTAGCCAGGTGTCCTCGAGAGTTCCATCCGATCAGAGTAAAGATACTATCAAGGATAAAGAGGGGAACGTTGCAGGACGTGATTTCCATACTGTATTGAATAACCAGACTGTTCAGCATCCAACAGCGGGATCCTCTTTTCTCTCTGTGAGTCAATTAGTGGAACATGAGAAAGCTGAGAAGTCTCATCAGCAGCATCATCAGCAGCATCATCACCATCATCACCACCACCATCACCATGCACATCAACATCAACAGCAGCAGCAGCAACAACAACAACAACAGCAGCAGCAGCAACAGCAACAGGCTAGAAAGCATCAGAGGAAGAGCAATGGTAGTCCTAGAGGAAACAGCAAAAGGCAGATGGATATTCGGAAACAAGGATCAGGTAATGATCAGTTGCATCAAAGGCACGAGGAACAAAAATCCTCTGGACACACCTTCCCTGAACAGGGATACCAACAGCAGCAGCAGCAGCAACAGCAACAGCAACAGCAACAACAACAAAAATATCAACAGAATAACGTTCATTGGAGAAGTAGGAATTGCAAGAGTAATTACACTGCCGAAGCATTAATAGGGACGAACAACAGCGTGCATGATACGAACCAGGACAAACACGCTTCGATTAAGTTCTCCGCGAATTATTCGCAAAATAAGTTCCAAACGAGCCTGCCCACCGCCGATACAGTCATGCCCCTCAATTACTTTTCAAACGCGGACGACGGTAGCGGTTACGGGCAAATGGTGAATCAGAACTTCAATTCGTACACATATTCTTCTAATACGAACATTTACCCTACTTCGAATTTTATAACCAGTATATCAAACACACCTACCAGTTACATGATGCCACTGCACGATAACACTGACTACATGGAAGCGAATGCGTTCCTCTTGTCGAACGTAACCGTTGCATCAACCAGCACCTCGTCGTCCACGTCCACCGTGACAACCTCCGCCTCAAACGTGAATACGAACGCAAAGAATCATCAACACTATGGGAAGCACCAGAATTGTGACAAGAGGTCGTATCCCACGAACGCGAAGAAAGGAAAGAGGAAAGGTCTTGATGGGACTATGCAGAACTTGGAGTTCCCTTTGTCTGGTATCAATTCACCTCTGGAGGATTATCATCACTCTACTACATTTTTACCACCACCACCGCCACCGCATGCTAGCCCCCTTTATCAGAATCATCCGCAAGCGAATGTGTATACTAAATCGGTAAATGGATTGCCACCACCGCCATCGGTAGCTGGCCCCCAAGGTGTACCAACGGTAGCAACGGCAGGTTTTCCAATGAATCCAAACATGCCAAGAGGAGGGATCGTCGCTGGCAATCACATGACTATGGGCCACCATCCGTCTGGCACGAGTTTAACCAACTTCAATTTAAGTACCATTTTTCCAGAGATGAACGATAAAGTATGTGGACCTTTTAAACACTCTAATCCTTTGTTCTCAAATTGTCTGTGAAACAATGTTTTGTTGATAATATTGAATTTGTAATCAAGAGATGTAACAGTAAAAGTAACTTTTAATTATTTTAAACTTACTTTTACATCCCTTACAAATTTATTGGTAATATTGAATTTGTAATCAAGAGATGTAAAAGTACCTTTCAAAATTAAAAGTACAATGTACAAAGGATTAGAAGTTTTGCCTATTGGAATTGAATGTTGGATAACTGTTGAGTTTATTTGTTAGATCACTGGGTATAAACCACCGAACGGTATACCACCTGGCTTATCACAGGCGAATCAATCTGCACCCTATACACAGAGGACTAACTATCCAACGAATCCTCTCTGCCATTTACCACAGGTGTGTTTATTAATCAAAACGTTTGGCATTCTCTGTGAATTCAGATTAAACAGAAACATTGTCCTCAGGTATCGGAAGGAAGTCAATTTGGTAATAGTGTTCCTCCTCCTCCTCCTCCTCCACCTCCTCCTGGAGTGATTCATTACAAGAATGTATGATAATGTAAGTACGAATGTAGTTTAACGCATCATACTTACATCATCATTACAACAATACATGGATGATGTAAGTATGAAAAACGGCTCATTATCCATTTGATGATTGTACATATGTAAATAGGTAATTGTGTAATTGATTAAATTAAAAAGAGATTGATATATATTTATATGTTTGATTTTGTATTACAATATAAGGTGAGCGATGAATGACATTAAAAATAAGTTTGTAAAAATTGTAACAACGCAAATTCTATGCTTTATTGTATATTTTGTTACAATTTGAAAACGTCAGTTTATTTCGCAATTAGTTTCATAGAATATTTCGTCGAATTTTATACAAAAAAATTGATACACTGTTGGTAAATATATATTATTTATTACTATAATCTTGCAAGATTTGTCTTAATTGTACGTGAACAGCATAGGAAACGAGTATCACAGCACATATTTCCTGTTAAATCAGTTTCTCGTTGTATTAACTAACTTCTTTGGTAGGCGGCTTTAACGGAACCTTTCCAAAAGTAAATTTCTCCGCCATGTACATGCTTTTTTCATCGTCTGTTAATTGATTCTCCAACGAGTAAACATCATCGCCGATAATAGTTGTTGTCATCATTACTCCGAATGTCGACTTTCCAAACGGACCGTTCTCAGCAGCAGTGTTAAAAGTTTGATTCTGAACAAAAGTACCAAACGGCGACGTAATTTTTTGTTGCTGTTGTTCCTGCGGTGTAAACGAATTCGTGGTCGTAGTTGTGGATGTAACGCTCGTAGGACCAAACGGTGAGTTTTTCATATCGCTGAATACCGTCGATGTGAAAGGGGAACTGCTGGTACTAGGTGTTCCAAAAGTAACCCCGGTATTTGTAGTACCAAACGGTGTGCTAGAGGAACTAGCTGTGGTAGCAGTCCCCGTGTTCATCCCGAACGTAGAGAAGGCTGCTGTACTGGTGGCTTCGAATTGCGAAACAGCGGTAGCAAAAGGACTTGTAGTCATCGAAGATGTTACACCAAATGGCGAAGCACTGGAGGTCGGCATAGGGGGCGCGTTACTTTGAGCGTTCCCGAATATACTTCCGGAAGGTGTAGAGGTGGTAACGCCGAAAGCGTTTGTAGATTGTGCGGAACTAAAGGCAGGTGTCGTGGTATTAGATCCACCAAAGATACTGCTAGAATTTCCAAATGTCGGTTTCTCGCCAAATATTGAGCTAGAATTGTTCCCAAATGTCGATGAACTGCCAAACACTGGTGCTCCTCCAAACGCGGGTGTTTCAGGCTGTGGAGTGGATCCAAAGATGGAGTTGGTTGTCTGTAAATTGGAGGAGCCGCTAAATGGATTAGCAGTCGAAGTTTTAGCTCCGGCAAACATAGAAGCGTTAGATTGAGACGAAGTGCCACTGAATAAAGAGGAAGATGATGTTGCTCCGCTATTGAATACTGAAATCGGCGTTTGGGGCGTTTGATGCCTGGCGAAAACATTGTTCACTTGAGTGTTGGTTCCAAATATACTAGGCTGCCCGAAAACGGGCTGGGACGTTCCGCCACTGAAAATCGAGCCGGATGATCCGAAAGCCTGCGTGTTTTGTCCTGTATTAAATGTAGAAGTGTTTGTAATCCCACCAAATACAGTATTAGTGTTGGTACCACCACCAAACACTCCTAAATTACTGCCAAAAGTTGGGGTACTACCAAATATAGGATTCGAAGTTGTAGTTGATCTGCCAAAAATCGATGTGTTACTGGGGATGAAGGTGAAACTACTGCTGAACGGATTACTTTGATTTCCAAATGTCTTGTTTCCAAATACATTGGAGGATGAAGTGCTGCTTGGAAGTCCGAGTTGTGGGGTTGCAAAAGCAAAGCTGGAAGGTTTCCCAGACGCATTATCATTTCTGGTATTCTTGTGTCCTGTTCCTAGAAGCTCTTTCTGAAAGAAAAAAAAAAAAATGTTTTTAATTATTACACCTTTACAAAGAACAATATAAATCGTATATCGATTGTGTTACATACAAGTTTGGTTAGTGTCTCACGAGTAGGATTCTTAAATGCATCCCTCTTTGCCTTCATATCTCTACATAGTTGTTGAAAATGCAATTTCTGAAAGAGACACAAAAATATAAGTGTCAAGATTTCATAGTAATACTACAACAGAAACAAATATGTAGTTGTATATACTAACTGTCTGCTCTACCATCCCATTATTTTGAGCTTGATACATCTCCCATCGGACTTCTTCTGGCGACAAGTCTTCCATGCCAGGAATGCACGGTTTGTCTTTAAGTGGTGCAAAACACGACAGTAACCATTGTCCCCCTCTTTCTGCATTGAGCATCTCTTTCGCGACCAACACCCTTGTTCAAGAATAAAAATTAAATTAATTCCGTATCTTTGTGTTCTTTATCAAGTAATTTCATTATACTTACACGATATATTCATCTTCATTGTACGAATCAACTTTGTTATTAGCTCCTACAGAACAAAAGATTAAATGTCAAAGTGAGAATACAATTTCCTTGTAAACAATAGTTAAGATAAACTGTATATTTTACCAAAAGTATTTATATGTTCGAATTGACAATACTGTCCAAATCGACAATTTCCTTGTCGATAATATTTACAAACAACCATATTGCATGCGATTCAATCTATTTAATCTTGTTATGTACCATTGCTGTTACGTACTTCGAGTTGACTCGATTAATTTCTATGCTCATCACCAGAGAGCGTGATCGTTTCGTCTTCACCAGCGTATTTAAATTTCTTTATTTAACAAAAACAAACAGTCTTTGTATAATACAGCTTATCGATCTTCGAAGACAAATATTTGTACGTAAAACGTTAATTTCTATAATTTGGGCTCAATTTTAAATCCAGTAACTTAAATGTCCATCTACTTGGTTGATGAATCATTTGAAGAACTTTGTACGTAATACCTCTATAAAAGAGAAAAGTTATATATGTACGTATTACATATAATTGATAATAAAACTATAAAAATATTGGGAAAAGTATATTGTAAGGTATTTAACGAGTTTCAGATATTGAGATTCATATAAAATAAAATTTAGTAGTAGATAGTCATCGTATTTAATTACACATACCTACCTCAGGAATTTTATACAGACGTAATCATCGCATTGATTCACCGCGCAAAATACATTACGGATCTAATGAAATTTATCGATACGATTTTTATTTGTTTTCTTACAAAATTCGTAAGTTTAAAAGGGCGCGAGGGAATAAATGCAGGAGTGCCGCCATGGCGCGGAAATACGAATTCGAATTCTCTTGTTGAGGTTATGTTGTACAAAGATCGTTTGTGTATCGTGTCAGTGGAAACAGAATTTTGAAAAAAAAAAAA